GTCTGTAGATGGTGAAATCCTGGTGTGTTCCTTGCAGTGCATGACATTAAGAAATGTTATCTTTAAATTGTTGAACTATTCACTCATGCAGTTCTTTGCAAAGTGGCAACTGAGCGTTTTGTGAACGCTTCTTTGATTGTATCATCTGTTACGTTTTCACCCGTTTACCTGTGGAAAGTTTCACGGTAGGTGCTTTTGATCAGTACACAAACTTCCCCATTTTACATTGCCCCTGTCCAAACCTTTTTGGAATGTGTTGCGAGCATCAAATTTGAAATTAGTGTATATATTTAGTGTTGATAAGGTTAAATATTAAGTATTTATTCTTTGTGCTCTTATGAGTTGCATACCTGAAAAAGATTGCTTTCTGTTTTTATTTGCATTTTACCTACGTCCCCAACTTTTTTTGGAGTTGGGTTTATATAATCGATAGTGACGGGTCTACCTTTAATAGCAACACAAGCTTGAGATGAACTCTGCTATCAGGACACTTTTCCTGCTACGTGTCTTGATTACTAGCGTGGAAGAAGCAACAGACATTTTGATTAAGTCTGAATGCAAGATTTTCAGGCTCATCCATAAAATTAGACTATCTTGGTTGAACCCTTGATTATTCCGCCTTCCCAAAATAGATTTGAAGTGGCAGTTGAGAAAAGTTGTTAAAACTTTCAGAAGTTTCAAATGCCAGATCTCAACAGAACACAAATTTCACATTAGTACTTTGACCAGCATCTGAATATTTGATGATGTTCACCTCATCTACTGTTTTCACTCTGCCACATAATTCAAGTAAAATAAAATCAAATAAAAAAGTCACTCAGTTTCAGCTTTCGGACAACACAAACTGACAGGTGTCTCTTTCTTTTGGACTACTTGAACCGCATGCAGGTAGTGAACACAGGCCTGGATTTGACTTGCCACATGGCAAGAAGACAGCCATCGGTCAAAAAAGTGAACCCTTGGGCCGGTCAATTGCATAACAGAAAAGACTTGAAGTGACCCCGTTTTAATTCCTTTATTTGGAATGATGAAGGTTTAACTTTTCTGTCTGTCTGTCTGACAGGAGATGTATTTGATAATTATATATTTGATGATTATCAGAAAGAAAGGAAATGTATAACTGCATGTCATCAGCATATCTTTGAAAACTGATATAATCTTTCCTGATGACATCGCCTAGAGGTAACATGTACAAAGAGAAAAGCAAAGGCCCTAAAACTGAACCTTGTGGGACTGAACAAGAAATGTTACATTTTTTTGATGAATGATTTCTCAGTGAAATTAAAAACTGCCTATTGATTAAATATGATTTAAACCTAAAACCTTTAAATCTAAAACTGTGCCCCAGAGGCCTACCCAGTATTAAAGATGGTGGATTAGAACTTGAGATCAACAGCTTTACGAACACTGCACAAAGATCTAATAAAACCAGAATAGATGGATTTTTGCATTGGCGCTGAGTCTGAGGTCATTCAAAACACAAACCTATGCTGTCTCAGTACTATAGTTAGAACAGAAACCTGACTGAAACCTCTCATATAACTCATTTGATGTTAGGTATGCATGTAATTGCTTGAATTTTTTTTATATCTGGAAAAGCACCTGTTAACAGAGAACAGTTTACAAGTTAAGACATTGTGAACACAATCAAGTACCATCTTAAGGAGAGAAGTAGGAACAGGGTAAAGATCACATGTGGACGAGCATAATTTGTTTATAACAACTGCAAGCTCCTGATAATTGATAACAAAGATGTCATTACTGATGTAGGTGGCTTATCAGGAAGGTCATAGGAGCTTGTTTCAGCTGGATGAGCTATGCTCTGTCTTATCAAAGCTATTTTATTTTGAAAATGAATTGCAAACTCTTCACAAATTTTCGAAGATAAATCACTATGAGATACACTAGCAGAGAAGTTAGGGTTAATGAGTCGGTCTGTGGTGGAAAAAAGGACTTTGGTATTATCTTTGTGTTTATTAGTTACCGTAGAGAGGTATGACTGTGTGGGTATTTTCATAGCATTACTGTAAGTGGAGATCTTCTTTTAGAGAATATAATGTACCTGCAGCTTAGTTTTCCTCCATAAGCACTCTGATTTATGACCATTTCTTATAAGCAGGTGTAATTCCACATCCATTCACAGATTTTTATGAGCATGTGAGTTTTTCTTCCTTTTGATTGGAGCGAGAATGTCAAGAGTTTCCTTTAATCTAGGATTTGGCTCAGAGACCAGATCATTAAAGGAGGGAGTCAGAGCTGTATTTGATGAGATGTTTAAAAACATTCGTAATAGTTCAACTATTTCTGAGTCAATATAACCCTTTTAAAAGTAATTTTCAAGCTCTTTCTTACCTTTTATGTTGACTTGAAAGAAGATACAGAATAATCTGATGTGAAAACATCAGAGATGAGGGACACGTTTGTGTTTACACTTTTAGCAATTACCAGATCCAGAATGTGACCTAGCTTGTAGGTAGAGCTGCCCACATGCAGCTTCAAATCAAATGTCTCTAAAAGTCTAATGAATTCTAATGCATTACTGTCTGAGGGATTATCAGTATGTAAGTTAAAGTCCCCAGAGAGGAGAATTTTATCATAGCTTGTGGATGCAACTGATATTCAAAAGACATGAATTCACCAATAGTGGAATTTATGCAGTTAAACTCACTATTATAAATGCAGTCCTCCTCCACGCCTGCCTTGTCTTACTGTATGCATAGAGCTGTAGTTTTCAGAATCAGCTTCAGGTAGAGTTGGTGTGCCATTTTCACGTAGCCATGTTTCTGATAGAAACACAAAAAAATAAAGCTTGTGCTCTTTAATAAGATCTCTAATCAGAAGTATTTTATGTAGGGACCTTACACTGAGTAAAGCAAGGTTTAATTCATAGCTCACTGCAATGTGTTTTGGGGGTGGTGGTCTTTTGTAAGGCTACATTAGTTGAATTATTGGCATTTTGACTGCATATTTTTCTTTAATTTTCTAATTGCACTGGGTTTGACTCTAATGACATTAATGAAGCAAATCTTTTGACCAATTATTTGTGTTTTAACTCTCTCAGTATTGTGGGAAAAGTTTGTACTGTTGTTAATGACCAGTTTAGGCATCTTCTTTGTCTGCTGTTGATACTACTTACCTATCATTGTTTACCGCTGTTACAGCCAGTCACGTCTGGTGTAGTACCTTCTCTATGTTCTTGGGCAGGATGCTAGACCCATGGCAGCTTGGCTGTAATCCGTCCCTGTGGTAGAAGGTCGGTCGCTCCCAGAAAGCACTCCAGTTACACACATAACCAATATTATTGCACCAGCCTTGGAGCCAACAGTGAAGCGCATAGAGCCTGCTGAAAACCTTCCTTCCTCTCCTGTAGGTGGGCAGAGGCCCTGAGATGACGATCCTGGCCTTGGTCCTCTTTTAATGGTGTCTAGAAGTAATCCGAAATGCTCCTTGAGTACTTTGCTCTGAGATGTCGTTAAACCCCTGTGTGAAAAGCCATGGTACCGATGTCCTCGTGTTTGTCAGAGTCGTGGGAAACCACTTGGAAATATCGAAGACCTGGGCGCTTAGAGACAGCTACTTTCAGATGTGTGACGATGGAGTCTCCGAATTTTAAAACACTGTTCTGAGTCATTGTACGAGGCACTGAAGCAGATAGAGAGCTGAGGGTTCCAAACCAGTACTGTGTAAAAGTCCGAGACCACCCTTCATTTATTTAATTTACAATTAAAATGGCCATTAAGTACTTTCATGAAGTTCTTCATGAAAATAAGCAGAAAACAACAAATTACACAGAAAATGACACAAGCCTCAACAACATTTTTTCTCTCTTTTCTGTATTCAGTGTGTGCACTGTTTGCCTTTAGTACAGCTGCTATTTTTTCAAGAGACTTGCTTTCAGTTTTTCAAAGAAATCTACAAGAATATTTTTCCACACCTCCAAAGTTCAGTTTTTAAAACTGGTTGTTTTCTCTGCTTCCCACGATACCAACCATGACCAAGTATAGGGGATATATATATATATATATATATTTATATATATATATATATATATATATATATATATATATATATGAAAGGTTGGCGAAACATCTATGCGTTTAAGGGTGACCATTACTCTACTAGGAATCTTTTGCAGAAATTATTCCATCATTGCTTAACTTAACTTGTGAGAACTCTGTCCCAAAGACAGATCCCAAGTGACCCTTTTATCACTTGTATCTATTAAACTTTAGCAGAACACATATGTAATTTATATAGTAAGTTCATATAACAAGATTTGATTCCAAGTAATTTTTAGCTAATTTAATGGTCCATTTGTCATGAAATGCTTGTAAAATGTTAAAGGAAGCAGTAATTTTTAAATGGTGTAAAAACAACAAAAGAATGGAATTGCGAGTTTTTGAAATGACAATGAAGAGATAATAGAGCTGTCACTAAATTGTGAAAAAGCCCAACAAATTGTGCTTTTTATGCTTTTCATGGTGGCAAACCTCTCGCAACTCCATAAAGCACGGAAGTGAAGGAACTTGCTGCTTAAAAAGCCTTGACCTTAGCCAAGTGAGGTCAAGCTCTGTCTCAAGATTGCTTTGCAAACTGCGTGCATGTTTGGCCATCCTGAGACATCTTTATGCGGCAAGAATTTAGAAAAACACTTTTCTCATCTGTTTTAGGAGCGGGGAGGCCAGCGTCTGGGTCACTCCCGCTATACCTGAATAATTGAACATTTTACGAGGGCAGAGCGAAAGTTTTCATCGAAAAAAAGGAATTTTCAGCACGCACTTGTCCCGCCTGCCCACAGAGCGTCTGCAGATTTAATTGACTCATCCTGATTTCCGAACGTGTGCAGCAGATTAAATATTTCAGTGCACCTTGTAGGAGGACAATATATAAGCCAAATGACTTTATAGCATGCCTGATCGTCCCTTGCATTAAATGCACAGACAGACTTTAATTGCGGCAACTAATTCAAGTCTTCATTGAGTCCTCTCATTACTTTTCAGGTCAACCGACTACGGAACCACTTACGAGAAGCTTAATGAAAAAGTGGGGGTGAAGACCATACTGAGTTACTTGTACGTCAGTCCAAACAACAAGAGAAAGGTAAGTCCTCTGTTTTATTTGTGTCCTGTGTGCACAGCTTTTCAGATTAGCTCTTTGTGTAAGTTTTTCTCACCATTGCTGTCATAAGAAAACCCTGTAAAGTTACCCACTTCTTACTTCCCCTGGTTTTCCGATCACAATTTTTACAATGTTATTGGATGAATCATTCATATTAGAACGTCAACAACTCTGTGAGGAACCTCAAAAGTCATAATTAGACATGTATATGCCTGACTTTTTGTGAATCTAAATCAGTGGTAGTTTATAGTTAACTGCTGATGTGATGGCTTGTGTGAAAATGAAAACGCGCTAACTTGCTAATTGTCTGAGGGGTCCTTTGGAAGTGAATCAGGACGAAAATATGAGATTGGGTTCATACCAGAATTACTGGTGGTTTAGCCTTATTTGCTAAGATAACCTTAGTCTCTGGTACTACAAGAAAATAAATTAAAATTAGCTTAAGCTAACAGCTCCACACACCAAAACACAGACTTACCCACTCAGATTTGACTCTGTATTCTCAAAACTTACATCAGGGAGGCTTCGATGAGCCAGAGTTGCTGGTGGTATAGCCTTCTCACCAAGCTAACTTTAGCCTCTGATACTACAAGGATATAAATTTAAAGTAGCTTAAGTGAACAGCTCAACACACCAAGACACAAATTTACCCGCTCAGATTTGACTTGATATTCTCAAAATTGCCTCAGGGAGGCTTTTATGAGCCAGGATTGTTGGTGGTATAGCACTCTCACCAAGCTAACTTTAGGCTCTGGTGCTAATAGGAACGTGATTTAAAAGTAGCTTAAGCTAACAGTTCCACACACAGAAACACAGGTTTAACCCCTCAGATTTGAGTCTTTATTCTTTTGAGCTCAGTGCCCTTAACAAGTGCCAGCTGATGCTGGTTTAGCATCGGCTGCGTGGGCTTATGCTGCTTCCTGTGTCTCTCGTCAGCGCTGGCACATCCTCTTATTAGCATGTTTTACTATCAGGCCATGATGAGTTCAAGCTCTTTCATGATGTATAAAGCTAAGCTGCTATGTAGCGCACCACAAATCACTTTTTCTGGACGTACTGGGAAACATTTGTTTACAATGGAAAAATGTGAACTCATGGAGCTGTGGTAACACGTTAGATACAAATATTACTCTATATCATCAGAATAACCCATCCAGGAGGAGTTCTTCATTTAAAAAACACATTTTTCAGTGAACTTTTAAATAATATTATAAAGCTACTGTTTGAGGTACAATAGGTTTTACCTTTGACTGTGATGTTCTGAAATCTTTTATAACATGATTGTTTAAGTATCTTGGCCTTGTTTTTGGGAGTATGGTTCCTTTTCAGCCTGGCTATACTGCACATATCATAAAGGCTCAAACATATACTTTATGTTGAGTACATACATGTAAGCAGCAAATATTGGACAAATATCGTAATATATGGATCATGCGTATATGTTTGATACATGGCTGCATACATGCCAGTACAGTTATCTGTTTACTCTTAAATATTAAGTGATTTAAATGTGTCAGGGAACAATATTTTCATTTATGTCATGTTACAATGATTTTATTGTGTAGCTTACAATGTGCATGTTTTTAGAGTCTGGTTATGTAGCTATTATACTCATTTGTACTTCAAGCTAGCATATAGGAGTAATATATGCCCTCCATAGATAAATGTTTTCTGTCATATATTGTTAAATACATGTGCTACACATGTGTCTGTTTATGTACATGTATGGCTGAAATATGTACCATGTACGAAAATGTCGGATTTCAAATTAAATGGCATATATGTCGTACATATGTATACAAAAGTCCACATGTATAAGATTCAAGGAAGTTTGTATATGTTTATATATGTCATGTATTTGAAATCCATATATTGCCATATGTCAGATTTCCAAATGGGTACTGGATAATTTATTTTCTTGTAGCATTTTACCCCTACACACACACACACACACACACACACGCACACACACGCACACACACACATGCACACACACACACACACACACACACACACACACCCACTTCTTCTAACTTATACAATCAGTACAACCAGTAACCAGCAACTTCACAACAGATGAAAAAAACGAAGAACAAGAAGTCTTCATTTGGAGATTTAGTTGTATTCAAAGCCAAACACATGTGCCTCATTAATATTGAAAAGGCTATAGTTTCTCCTCTTGGAAGGCCGCTGAGTTATGAACTGTATGAAAAGAGACTCGTAAATTTGCAGTGTTTTAATCAAAGGCAAGACAAGAGAGTTCATATTTACAGCCAGGGCCCCCGCAGTCCCCTCCGAGTGACGGTGCAGGCCATTAGTCTCTCTCCTCCCTCTTCTGTGGCTTTCCTCGCATTACTCCTCCAAGCCCTTGCCTCAATCAGGAAGGGCTCGTTTTCTCCTCGTTAATTACAGTGCCGTAATGAAGACAGAATGCGTCCCTGGAACGCGCTGTGGGACCCATGCGGATTGCATGCTCATAAAGCTGCCACTCCGGAGCGTGGAAGTGTGGCGGTTTACTTAATAAAAGCGAGTCCCGTTTCCCCAAAACGACGCTCCGATGATCATCACTGTTTATGTGGTTTCTGCAATTACAGTACCAGTCAAAACCTTGGCCAAGCCTACTTGTAGAATGTTTGTTCTTTAATTTTTTGGATCATTTGCACATTTTAGACTAATAGCAAAGATAACAAGGCCATGAAATAACACATATAAAACTACTACAATCAGAAATATTGACCTTATGCCAAACAGAGCTATTTAGACCCACTCTATCATACAACACAGATGATTGGCTCAAACGTATCAACGAGCTCAGACATTTCTCTAATTAACGTTTAACGAAGCAGACATAGTAATTAGTATGGTATAATGGCTGTGGTTCATTTTCAGCTTAAAAGTTCTAAATGAATAGGGAGGCCTAAATAAATTCATTTTTTAGCATTTTTGTTCATACATAGAAATCAAACATCACTATTGTATTATGTTGCTTTTACACCAGTGACAGTTGCTATTTCTCACCAGATGTGAGTGAAGAGCATTTAAATTTTCCAGTAAATGTCATGAATAAGTACTACTACTACTACTACTACTACTACTAATACTACTAATAATAATAATAATAATAACAATAATAATAATAATTTAATGTTATAACCTATTCCTTTTTACAAGTTAAATAAACTATGTAGACGATATTTTAACATACAGTCTTATGAAAAAGTTTGAACACACCCTGAACACTTAAACACTTCTTTGCTATGTTTAACATATTGGAAGAGTGCACCATAACTTTTGCACAGGCCATGTTATATGTTTTATTTCCCAATCTACTAAAATAAAGCAAATGAACAGTAATTGTGCACAGAAGGTCTCTGTAGAGGATGTGTTCATTTTCACTTAGAACATCAACAAAACCTGTCATTTGTCCAGGGGTGCCAACACTTTTCTATAATTCTGTAGTTATTAACTTTTAACAGTTTGTAAGAGGTTTTGATTGACTCAGTTTTTTCCCTCATCAGTCTAGCACATACTAGAACCTTCTTGGTTTGAAGATAATACCAGTGCTTCTGCTGCAGCTTAAAATATAGTTGTTTTTCAAATATGGACGTAGACTGCGCAGTATAGGAAAACTGAATTTTGTTCAAAACTGCTATTAACAAATGTCAAAAAATAGACACACATTGGATTTTTATGCTTCACACAAGTAATGCTGCCACAGCAATATGTGATGCACGCAGCCATTGTGAAAGGCTACATCGATTAACACAGGATAACAGTTATGTGTCTTTTGTAAAATGGGCTTTAAAAATAAGACTGTTATTTGTCTTAAAGGGGAATTCCAGTGGTCCAATTTCTGTGTAATTAAATGGTTAAGATGTAAACAGATTCATTCAGAGTGGTTGATGTGAAATTCCCTGATTCTAGAGGAACTTACTGAGTCAGAATTGGTCACATTGATGACGATAGGACGTCTGCCTCTAAAAGCTCCTTCACAGAAAGTTATTACATGAACTGGTTGTGAATACACAGCCTGATGCCTGAGACATTGTTTTACAATGTTTTCTGATAAGATTCATTCATCCTTAAGAGGTAGAAGGTGTTGTAAATCAGTCCCCAAAGAAAACTTTCCCAGATTGACCACTATTTTACCATCATCAACATTACATATACAAACTCAGAAGACACATGTAGGTTCACTGGTTGTTTTGTCCAGTAAATAAAATAGCTTTATTTTCATGACCGCTACTATCACAGTACTGGCCTCATTGCTTAATTCCGATTTGTTGCTCAGATCCAATCTTCCTAATATGATGGTTTACATTTGTGTAGGTAAGTGACTCAAAAGTGTCATTAAATAAACAAACTTGCATTCTGAAATTACCTTCATGGGCATATCCCAATCAGTAACGTCACGTGAATGAATCATGTGCATCACGAACAGCAAACAAACTAACCAGCAGAGCAAGCTTTGCTGCAAAGATAATTATCTCTAAACAGCTTTCAGTTGTTCATTATTCGAGTGAGACGAAGGTGAAAAGGGTCAGATGTGTTGCTATTCCACTGTTTACTGGTTTTAACTTCAGGTTAAGTGCTGCTGCCTCGTTAATGCTGAATGCTGGCACATGTGCAGTGAAAAAAAATATCACTTGAATTACAATCTCAGTGTTCTCATTGAGGCCGCATGGCCACGAATCGGATATGTATCTGGTCTAGGACCACATATGAAAGTGGCTTAGGTCTTCTCCACGAAACGCTTGCAATGCAGTAGAGATCCCACTGTTTTTTTCCCAGCAATAATAATTGAATTTTGCCTCAAGAGGTTTTATTTTCTCATAAATATACACAACGTAATCTCCACTACAGTGCCTCAATGGCCAAGCTTTATGTAAACAGTCAATTCCATTGTAAAGTCCATGCATGATTGCTAATGTCAATAGGACATCATGCTGCCTAACTTGAAAGCATAGATAGGATTAAAAATG